ATAAGGTTAAGTATGCTGACTGGAACTAAGTTGTGTTATAGCTGGAAAACTGAAATAAAGTTAAGTATGCAGACTGGAATCAAGTTGTGTTATATAACTGGAAACTGAAATAAGGTTAAGTATGCTGACTGGAACTAAGTTGTGTTATAACTGGAAAACTGAAATAAGGTTAAGTATGCAGACTGGAACTAAGTTGTGTTATAACTGGAAAACTGAAATAAGGTTAAGTATGCAGACTGGAACCAAGTTGTGTTATAGCTGGATTTCTACTGAAAGAAAAGCAACAACAGCTGACATAAAAGTGGTTTAAGATAATAAAAACTTTTATAAACAGAAAACAAAAATTGTAACAAGAACAATGAACTATAAGATTTAAAGAAAATAATGCACACCTTTCGAAGGTAGGATATTGATAAGTAAATAGAGTTTAAGATGTACAATTTTCTACACTTCGCGGATGTTGTATCAGTCACTTGTCATTCTTATTTTGAAATGGTGTGTTATTTTCAAAAAACCCCTTCCTCTCCCCTGAGTGGCAAGTTTAAAGATTTGTAACACCAAATACCAAGTTTTGATACTCAAGGCGGCAGAGCACAGATAGCCTATTGGGTGGCTTTGTGCATAACAAGAAACAAACATTTATTTACATATATATACATTTCAGCAATATGAAACTTTTCAACTAAAGTACTGAATTTCTGATTATAACACTTACAGTATCTGTCTTACTCCAATCATACTGTTTAGAGATGGCCACTACTGAAACTGGTAAAACTGAGCGAGCAGCATATAAACATAGATTTCCAGTAAGAAAAGTAGCCATCCAAATCCTTTTTTCTTTTCTAAAATATGTAAAGAAAGGAATATATTAATAAGAACTTCTGAGTGAAAGTAGAAAGAATGTATATTCAGTGATAAGGAGGCCTATCACTATAGGGGCTTGATTTTGATTGAGAGGACAAGCAAGTTTTGCCCGAAAATAAAAAATTGACCTTAAAATCATATACTGTAAGGTTTAAAGTTGCTTGAAAAAAATGGTTCCAATGACTTCCATGCAGAACCTTACATCTCTAAAGGGTTAAAAAGGTGCAAGTGAAAATGTCACATGTGGGTAATATATTACCAATTTGCAAATATAAAAGTTATAGATATGTACGGAGCTTTTTGCCCAAATATTTTGGGTGATTTTTGCCCAAAAAACTATTTGGGCCAGAATGGGGGAGCTGTCCCCTTGACCCCCCACCCTTACGCCTATCACCAATTACCAAGACATAACATAATATTATATTAATAAAAAAATCAGTATAATTGTTCACATAATTTTTATAACGAAAGTATCTTAGCTTAATATTATTGTACATTAATTTAAATTTATTAATAGAAAATACAATATGCCTATGTAAATAACTTTTATGATATGAACACAGCTTACCGTTAGTTTATTTTTATAAAATTGAAATACTGTTTACCTAACTCATGAAGAACGTAGTATAGTTTAATATCACTACACTTTCATTTTTGAATTGATTAATAAAAATTATGTACATGTTTTAAAATTGATCTGTAGTTTGAGATGATTTCAAACAAAGCTTTTAAATGTAAGGTGGGTATTTTGACTGTGTAAAACTAAGACACAGTTCTTATAACATAATTGTGATGATAGTACATAGCAATTTAAACCTCATTATAAACGAATCCTATGCCATTTTGTAAAGTCCTTACATTTACATATAAGAATAAGTTGTTTTAACATTATTTAAAAATTAAATTTTAAGTATAAATTCTGCAGTTCCGTCAAACATTCGTAGAAGAATATTATTTTACTACGTGATTAATACATTACTTTCTCCAGAACTCTTCAGAACCCGAGGTACACGTACATTCACCATCCTCAGCTAGTAATTCTACTTCTGTTAGTCTATGTTTGGCGGTCATTTCTACGAGAGTAAAAAGGTATTTTTTATCACTTCTGGTATTACTATCACACACACAAACATGTTCAGAAGAATACTGGACATCGTCTTATATATTGATTTTAATATACAAAATTTATTATGGTTTAATAGTAATACTAATGCTATCAAAAAATAGTCCAAGAAGCAAGCAACCTGTTCACCGTAACACCGTCATGTGAGCAAGGCCTGGAAAATCCAAAAAATCTGTAGTTATAATAATCTCGTCAGGTATTATTTTTCTATTTCTACGTACGTAATCCATGCAGCTGTGTTAGTGAACGAGATAAAGATTTGTCCAATAGCATTCGTGTATATTTCTACACATCTGCTACGTGTAAGAACGAACGAAACGCACAGATGCCTAATGCCAAGCATCGAAAACAACATAATGTATTATGAAGTTATATTTTTCAAATAATACTAAATTACTTTTAAATGTGGAGATAAGAATGTTAGTTTCGGATATTCGCGAAAGGTCACACGAGGTTTATCTGTGCTAGCTGTTCCTAATTTTGAACTGATAATGGCAGCTATTTAACAACACCCACTGTTAGCTGTTGAGCTATTTAAATCGAAGAGGGGAATGTCTGTTACTCTTATAACGCACCCAAAGCGAAGCGCTATTTTTGTTTTGGAATTAATGAGACGCGAACCACACTAACGCACGCTAATCGCTAGATCACGCTCTACCCACAACCTACGTATCTTAAATCCACGACTTAAAAAAACAAAACACTCGATCACAAGAAACATTTTAATCCACATGCCACTTCACTCCACTCCACTGCTACAGTGCAGCCGGACCTTTCCGTGTCTCGGTCAGAGTCTTTTGCACATCATGTGTAGGGTCTTTTGCCCTCAGTGGATAACAGAGTTGACAAGTCAACCTCTACTCCTATCTCTGTCCCCACCATTCCTTCCAGTGACTGCCCAGGTCCATATTCTTTGGTCTCTGGTGTCCACTCGGGTCCATCTTCTTCAGCCCCGAGATGGAAAACCATTATTCGCTCGTGCCCTGAGTCGCTGGATCTAAGTCTAATGACAGAGATCTGCCCACTCAAACAAGGGCAGGATCCATGAAGGTCGGTAGACCTCCTTCTAGTAAAGAAAAACGGCGTGGTCGTAAACAGAAGGATTCTCCACCCTGTTCTGTTTCACCTATGTAAAAATGGTCATTTTGATATAATGGAACTGTCGAGGTTTTCATTGTAATCTAAATGACATTAAGGCCTTGATCGATTCCTATCATCTCGTGTGTCTTTCCTTACAGTAAGCATTCCTGAATCCTGCCGATACAGTCACATTTCGGCAGGTTCCTTTATACCAGCATGACAGGTTGTGTGATGGACGAGTGCATGGAGGGATGGAACTGCTGGTCGACCAGCACGTGTCTGCCTTGTCTGTGTCACTCAATACATCCTTGGAGGCCGTAACCATCCGTGTTTCCTTGGTTTGTACCATCACTGTCTGTTCTCTCTACCTGTCTCCTGGAGAGACTTATGATCAATCAGACCTTGATGCTCTCACTGAACAGTTGTCATCTCCCTTTTTAATTCTGGGAAACTTTAATGGACACAATCCTCTCTGGATGGTGCTGATTTTGATTGGAGGGATCAATCTGTAGAGCATATGCTCTCAGACCATAACCTTTCTCTCTTCAATACTGGATTTTATACTTATTTTCATGCACCTAGTCAGTCTTTTACTGTCATTGATATCTCTATCTGCCCCCCTTCACTTTTCTCCCACTTTTCTTAGAGAGTTGACAGTAACCGATGGGGAAGTGATAATTTTCCTATCATTTCGAGGGAGGTTGGCCATGGTCAATGCCACCCAACCTAAGTACCATGAAAGTTGAACCAGGCCAACTGGCCCTGTTTCACTGCTCTCTCAAAACTTGATCCTGCCCTCTTATGTCTTCCATCAATAGACGACTGCTTCATAGAAGTGACTGACTGTATCGTTCAGGCAGCTTCTTACTCTATTCCCAAGACCTCGACACGTTTTTCATGGTATCCTCGTCCATGATGGATCCTGCCTGCCAAGAGGCATGGAAGACTCAAAAACAAGCCTGGGATACCTTTCGTGGGTATCTCACTTTTTCGAACTGCATTGCTTTCCAGCAGGCCTGTGCCCATGCTCGGCAGGTTCGACGTCAAAGCCAAAAGGAATTTTGGATTAAATTTACAACTAGCATCTCTTCTACCACCAGTTCCAAAATCATATGGGTCAAGATTCGGAAGATCAATGGGAGGTATGCTTCCCATCCCCTTTTCACCTTGCTCTCTAATGGCCAGAAGGTTGCTGATGTCCAGAGCATCGCTGATACTCTCGGCGAGAGCTTTTCTTTTCTTCTGTTTCTTCCCCGCCTTCTTGGCCATCAAGTCTCGGGCAGAGCGATCGCCTCTTTCCTTTTGGACCAATCGCCTCTACGATTATAATCACCCCTTTACACTGGTAGAACTCAAACTTGCTTTTCATCAGTCTGGCAGTACATTGGTTGGACCAGATGATGTTCACTATGAGAGCTTTGCCATCTCTCTCCTGTCTCTCTTGACATTCTTCTGATTGTTTTTAACCGGATCTGGCAGGAGAATGTTTTTCCTGATGCTTGGCACCAGGCTATTGTCTTCCCTTTCTCTTAACCTGGGAAGGATCCCAAGATTTCTTCTAAGTATCGTCCAGTTGCTTTCACTTGCTGTCTCTGTAATGTCTTAGAGAGGATGGATAATGCTCGTCTTGTTTGGTTCCCAACCTCCTCTCGCCAACCCAGTGTGGGTTCCGTCGACAGTGCTCCACCGTGGACCAGCTGATTAGACTTGAAACCTGGATCAGCGAAGCCTTCCTCAAGAAAGAACATCTTATTTCTATGTTTGTTACCTTGAGAGGGCTTACAACACTACACAGAAACTTGGAGCCCCTCAGGGCTGTGTCTTGAGTGTCATATTTTTTAGCATCAAGATTAATGCTGTCACTATACAACTTCCTTCTACTGTTGCAAATGGGCTCTGTGTCGACTTGCACATCTCGTGTCGGTCGTCGAACATGAGGTTTATTGAGCAGCAGCTTCAGACTGCTCTCAATCATTTGTTGAAGTGGAGCACAGTAAATGGTTTTTACCTTTTCTCTTTCCAAAACCGTTTGCATGCATTTTTGCCACCAACGGGGTCTACACCCTGATCCTGAACTTTGTCTTGGTGATGTTGTTCTTCCCGTGGTCACTGAGGCCGTAAGCTTACTTTCATTCTTCACATCAAGCAGCTATGCGTCAAGTGTACAATGACACTGAACATCCTTGTGTTCTCTCATCCACCTCTTGGGGAGCTGATCGGTGTTCTATGCTCAAGATCTATCATGCCTTTATTCGATCCAAATTGGACTAGGGGTCACTGGTCTATGGTTCTGCTAGAACCTTGGCCTTGAAGATGCTGGACCCCATTCACCATCTGGGGCTTCGCCTGTTCACGGAGGTTGTCCACACTCTCCAGTCCAGAGTTTGTACACTGAGTCCTGCGAACCTTCTCTTCCTCTATGCCATTTCCAACTTTCTTTACAGTATACTAGCAAGCTTCGATCCTTACTACAGCACCCCACCTGGGGTTGTGTCCTTCTTCCTTGGTTGTCTGTGCTGTTTCAGAATAGACAGTCTGCAATTCCTTCTTTTGTCCTTCGTATCCAAGTGCAACTGGCTAAATTGGGTGTGGCTTTAGATGACGTTGCTGTCCTCAATGACCAGCCAACTCCACCATGCCTTACCATCCCCATATGTGCCCTTTCCTTGAGTCATCTGAGTAAGGCAGATACTCCCAATTGGAAGTACCTTCTTCTCTTTATTGAACATCTTTTGAACCAACCTTTTATTCTCATTTACACGGATGGTTGAAAATCGGGTGACTCTGTAGGCTCTGCCATGGTTTTTTGTGGCTCGGTAGTTACTTGCAGGATCCCCTCTACAGTTTCTGTGTTCACTGCCGAGTTGTGTGACATTTCTCTTGCCATGGATCATGTAGAAGCTATGAAGTACAGCAATTCTACTATTTACAGTGATTCTCTCAGCTCTCTACTGGCCCTGGAATCGCTTGACGGTAGTTCTCACCCTGTTCTTGTCAATATTCAACAACATTTTCCTCTATGTTCTGTTTCCATCCAGTCTTTCTAGATACCTGGCCACTTCGGTATTTGCGGGAATGAGCTCGCTGACACTGCAGCTAAGTCCGTCTGCTCTGGTTCTGTCATGGCTGTGCCTGTCCCATATATGGACTACTGTCCTGTATTCAAGGCGCAACTTTGTGCCAGTTGGTAGTCGACTTTGGGTAAACAACGTCATAACAAGTTTTCCAGATCAAACCTTCTGTTGCTCTTTGGCCATTTTGTTTCTGTAAGGATCGGAAGGAGGAAGTTGTCCTGACTAGGCTACACATTGGTCACAGTTTTTAACTCATCGCTTTCTTTTAGCTGGTGCTGACCCAACAATGTATAGCCCTTGTGACACTCCAGTCACAATAACCCACATTTTACTGTTGTGCTACTGTTACAACTGTCAGTGGCAGCACCATTTTAGATATATACTTTCTACGGGTTTACCCCTGACGTTGAGCAGTGTCATTGGCAATAGGAACACTGTCCAAATTGACCGGGTTATTGCGGTTTTTAGGGCTTTTTACTTCTGTTTTTACCTGATTTTCGAACTTTGTTTACTTTTTAACTCGATTTATTTTTACATTTTATTGTTTGTTTGTTTGTTTTTAATTAAGCACAAAGCTACACAAGGGTTATCTGTGCTCTGCCCACCACGGGTATCGAAACCCGGTTTCTAGCGTTGTAAGTCCACAGACATACAGCTGTGCCACTGGGGGCTTACATTTTATAATATTTCACTTTCACTATTTTTACGGTTGTTTGGCCATAGATAGTCTATTTGCTCTGTGCCGTAAAACGCCAAACAACCAATCAAACTAATTCTGTTAATTTAATCTGCTGATCATGTGAGTCATAGTCAACACAGTCCATTCATTTAGTTAAATGTTTGCAGTTTTCCTTTTTTTATTCTTTTGATTGATTGCTTATGTGCCTTTGTAAAATAAATTACGTTATTTTTATTTCTTTGGACTTCAATTTCTAGTATTTTCTATTTATATTTAAATATTAAAATATTTAAATATTTTAATATTTATCCTGTCACAAATTGCTGCACTTTCTTTTTGTATGTCCAACATTCTCTTCTTGTCTTATTGCAGA